CCACAGCCCCACAGATCCTCCGATTCCCTAGAGCCTACACGAGCATCCCTGCAGGGCACAGCATACAAACCACTCACTGTGGTAGCAGAGCGCTTCTGACGGGGGCAGCCTGGGGCCAGCTGAGCCTTGGGAGGGGGCCCATCCTGACAGCAAGAGAGAGAGAGAGAGAGAATGAATGAATGAATGAATGAATGAATAAATGGAGTGAAAGGGTGAGGATAGCCTGTACGTTCCAAGACAGCGCAGGGGCCAGAAGGGGATCTAATCTGAAAGCTTGGTACAGAAATACCAGAAGTGTCACCGACACAAAGCTCTTGTGTGCTTCATTTTTTTTGGCAAAGCAGCTTCCTCGTTAATAAGAGGGCTTCGAATCTTTTGATCAAGTTAGTTTCATGCAGTGGAGAGAAGGTCCTTAGAGAAAGATAAACCCAAGAGCCTAGCACTGTTATAAGAAAGGGAGGATGTGAGACTCCTGCACGGAATTATTACAGAAGCAGTACAGCAGGCTCAGAGCAAGGATTCTGGTAAGATCTGTGTTTTGTAAACTGTGCTCCAGCACAGAAGCAGTTGATTGGAATTCGAGAAGAAGACTTGGTTTTATACCCCGCCCTTCACTACCCGAAGGAGTCTCGGAGCGGCTTACAATCGCCTTTCCCTTCCTCTCCCCACAACAGACACCCTGTGAGGTAGGTGGGGCTGAGAGAACGCTGAGAGAACTGTGACTGACCCAGGGTCACCCAGCTGGCTTCATGGGGAGGAGGAGTGGGGAATCAGACCTGGCTCTTCAGACCAGAGTCCTGCCGCTCTTAACCACTACACCAAACTGGCTCTTCAAACCCAATCTCTGGACCCTTGGTATACAGATTTGTAGTACCACATTTTTGATATTGATGGTTATTGTGTTTATTTCTGCTGCAATAACCAATCAATCAATCTTTGATGCCACAAGTAATAGAGATCTCATGAAACCTTCACCCTTCAAAATTCTAAGCTGACTTGAGAATGCACACTAAGTTAAGGGTGCACAGACTCTTATTGGGATAATAAGCCCCTTATTCATGAGTGGCCACTTGTGCCCCACGTGGGCCAGAGCAGGAAGCCCCCCCCCCCAGCCTATGGCAAGAAGAAGAAGAAGAAGAAGAAGAAGAAGAAGAAGAAGAAGAAGAAGAAGAAGAAGAAGAAGAAGAAGAAGAAGAAGA